TCACCTCTCACTTCCTTTGACTCACTGTCCTTCCCTTGTTCCTGTAGTCAACTCAGTATGCCTAGGACCAAATTCAACATTTCCCTCTAGAGTGACTTCTCCCTTGTCTTTGCTCTTTATTCTCTGAGTGACATCCCTTAAAAAAAAAAATCCACCATCTTGGGCTTCTCCATTGCTGGTGTTGGCTACATTTGTGATAGGAATCTTTCCCCTGGAAGTAGCCTGGGAAAGTGGGACAATTCTGAGCCATTATCAGGAATGTGGGAAAAGTCTCAGCCATTATTAGGGATATCAGAAAGCCCAAATGCAGTATTTTCTTTTGGTCTGTTTGTCTTGATTTTAGAAACAGGCCTTATTTTGTAACCCAAGCTAATCTAGAAATCTTGATCCTCCTGCTTCAACCTCCTGAGTGTTGGGATTACAGGCACACATTACTACACTAAGCTGCAAGGCAACAGTTGGTCTTAATTTACCTTTGAGGTGGTCCAGTTGCTGATTCCATTTTGAACTTGTGACTCAAGTCTCCTACAGTTTTCCTGTTTTAAAAAATCTGCCCTGGTTTCTTAACCCATTTTTTTCCTGCTATCCCTAATGTCAACATCAACATATCACAGACTTTAATGTGCATATGAACCTCCTACAGATCTTGTTACTATGAAGGCTGTTTAATAATAACAAAAAAAATTTTGGAGGCTGGAGAGAAAGCCCAGAGGTTAAGAGCACTGGATGTGTCTGTAGAGGACCCTTTTTTGGTCCCTAGCACCCACAGGGTGGATAACAACCATCTACAACTCCATTTCCAGGCGATCCAAAACCCTCTTCTGGCCTCCACATACATTACACACACGAGATGCACTTGCATACATGCAGACAAAACATTCATACACATAAAAAGACAAAAAAATTAATTTAAAATGTAGTTTGTCAGAGGGCTCAAAGTAGTGCCTGGGATTCTGCTTGTCTATATTTTTATATATTTATCTCTGTGTGTGTGTGTGTATGTATGTATGTAAATATGAGGGTCAGAGGTCAACTTGGGAATCAGTTTTCTTTTGCCACCTTGTCGGATCTAGGGATTGAGCTCAGGTCATCAGGCCTGTGCAAACACCTCACCCCTGTGAGCCATCTTGTTGGTCTGAGATTCTGCATTTTTCATAAGCCCTGAGGTCATGTCATGCTTCTGTCTTAAAGATCACATCTTTGGTAGCAAGAGCCCATAGCAACAATCTAATCTCCTAAACATTCTTCCTTACTTACTCCATTAGCAGAAGGGACAGAATAAGTACTGTCATGTTATCATGATACCTGGAGCCTATGCTGCTGACCTCATTGGTCCCCAATGTATCAGAGTGCTAGAATCCCCTGGAACCTGATTAAAAATTCTGACTCTTGGGACCTATCACCAAGGAGTCCAAATCACAATGTATAGGACAAGGCCTCAGAAATTTTAATTTTATGAAGCACACCACACAATCTTACTGATTTTTAAGGATATTTGAAAATCATGTATATGGGGGCTGGAGAGATGGCTCAGCAGTTAAGAGAACTAGCTGCTCTTGCAGCGGACCAGGGTTCAGGTCCCAGCACCCACATGGTGGCTAACAACCATCTGTAACTTCAGTTTCAGGGCATCCAATGCCCTCTTTTGACCTCCAGAGGCATTGCTTGTCGAGGGTGCACTTACATACATACAGGCAATATACTCATGCACATAAAATAAAAACAATAAATGAAATAATTTTAAAAGCATGTGTATGTATGTATACCTGTGTGGAGGTATGTGCAAGTGACTGTGGGTTCTTGCAGAGGCCAGAGGCATCAGATCCGCCTTGAGCTTGAGTTCCAGGTAGTGGTGAGCCACCCAGTGAACCTGGGTTGTCTGCAAGAGCAATATGTGCTCTTAACTGCAGAGCCATCTCTCCAACCCTGCTGGTTTTTTAAAATAACTGTATCTTATAGGCTAAAGTTCAATCCATAAATATTAAAGTTTCCCCTAGCAGATCCAGTCGCAGCCTC